CAGAACCTTGATTCAAAATTTCAGACAAGCTCCAATGGAAACAATAAGTGAGGCTTGGGATCGATACAAAGGCTTACGGAGAAAGTGTCATACACAGTTGATGGATGCTTATGACTTGATGTTCTATTTCTACTATGGACTTCAAGTTGTAAGTAAAAAAGAGTTGGACTGTTATTCAAAGGTGGGTTCTTTTCTCGACATGACACCGGAAGAGAGTGAAACACTCATGGAGAATGCGGTATCAAATGCTAAGAACTGGTACTACGAGACAGAATCTTCTTCCGGGACTACACCTCAAGACATCGATCAAATTTCTTCCCTCACAACCATAATTGACAACTTGGTCGAAGTGACGAATCTCATATCACGACCAAGTCGGGTCAACAAGCAGAATCATATTATGGCAGTTCAGGAAAGTTTAGTGGAGACTAGCACGGAGGCACCCATATTTGATGAAGAATCCACAGATGAGAGATGGGCCTCCACTGAAATACAAAGCTCAGTGGAACTACAGAATGAGACATTTACTGAAGATAATGAAAGTGAAATTGGAGAGATCTTTGAGCCAATTTTAAAGGTGGAAGTGGGGGACATTTTGTGCAAAAGTAAAGTTGAAAAGGGAGAAATTCTGACATCATGTCTTGCTGAATTTGATGAGGCGTCTCACAGAGAGGAGGAATCCGAAATGATCACAGTTGCATCATGTGAAGAATTGAAGAAAAATCCTGAGTTAATCAATGAAATTGAGGTTCTCCTGGATCTACTTTTGGAGACTTTGGATGTGCAAGTTGACCATGAAAATTCTGCACAAAATGAGAAAGAAACAAGTGTGGAGGATGTCCTTGACTTGCTCCTTGAGGTACTTGATACTAGTACATTGCTCGAAACTGTCGAGATTGACGAGGAACTGGGGAATGGGGAAGACTTTCCTTACTTTATTTTTCCACCTGGCAATGAGAAATATGCACAAGCCTTTGTTCTTGCTTGCGAGTTTTTTATGAAAGAATAATGGTACACAAGAAGAGTTCCGAGGGCCAAGCTGTATGATCCAAGAGTTGGAAGGTCAAGGAAAAGGTGGATAATGCGTCAAGCTAGTGACGTTAAAGAAGCGCTTTTGGGAGGCAACCCAAGTGTTAAAAAGGAAAAAAAATTCAAAAAAAAAGATGCAAAAAAAAAAACCAAAAAAAAAAAAATTATTTCCTCTTTTCCCTTTGTTCGTGTGTTAGTTTTGATTCATATATATTTTCTTTAGCTTTTTCAGGTTAATCACTGGAGTTCCCCGATTAGATTAAAATTTGATTTGTGCTTGCTCTTTCAAATCTTCAGTATTGAGCACAAGGGGAGTACTTCTTTTCTTTATCAATTTTTTCCCTCCATGTGTGTTTATATGTGATTCATCTTAAGTGTGAGGAGATTATGTTTGAAAAAAATGCAGATTTGCCCTGTTATATTTTGATTTTATTTTGAGACCTCGAGGACGAGGTCTATTCTCAAGTGTGAGGAGGGTTTGGAACAGGGCAATGGACTGATCTAGTGTGCATGACAAGAGGCTCAGGTGAACTAAGTTAAGATCATTAATAAGCTAAGGTGTAATCTAGTCTAATTATTTTTTTTATGAAAGTTTTGTTATAACTAATCTTTTTATTAGCATTATACTTTAAAAAAAATCTTTAAATATTAGGAGATATGCTTGATTTCTACTTTAAAGTTCTGTGCACTAGTTTGGGTTTTTGGTTTGACTGGTTGTTTGATATTACTTTCTTTTCATGGATATATACTATGCTCCTTGGTTAGCTTAAAATATTTAAATTCTTTGGATTAGGGAGAATTCTATCCTCGAATGAGGCTCTGCTTTTAGCATTTGATAGAATATCTCTCGCTATTCTGGTTGTACTTGATTTGAGAAGTGTCTTCGTTGGGAGTCTCATCTCCGAGAAGGGGCGCTGCTCTTCTCATTATCGTATTCTGCGAGAGTTGAGTATATTTTATATATTTTATGAGATAGCCCCACAAATCAGTGATTTAGTTCAACCATGAAATTCATACCAACTTGGCCTTGTTTATAGCTCCCCTAAGATCACTCTAAAAAAAAAAAAAAGACCCAAAAAAAAATGCTAGGGGAGCTAAATCAGTTTTCAGAACTGGAGCTTGTGTGTATTTCATGACTAGTTAAGGATGACTGAAGCTTTCTGAATGTGAATGTTGACTTGTGCTCATAACTACTTAGTAGCAATTTTGCATATATGCTAGTATTACATGATTTTTTTTATTAGTATGTTGTGTCATAAAAGTTGAGTTATTACCGTACTTTCATGTAAATATAGTTAGGTAGATTAGAATCTTATTATATTGATGATTGATTCTGCGTGATCTTGAGCCCTTGAGTTGTGCACTATAAACGGTTTGCCTTAAAAATTTGTTTGCGAGTTGTTTTGTTGCTTGGGGGCAAGCAACGCTTAAGTGTGAGGAGATTGATAAGTCTAATTTGTTCATATATTTTCACTCACTTTTTATAGCGTTTCTTCTTAAACTCGGGGCAAATTGAAGCATTTTTCTTTATTTTTATTGCATTTTTGTTAATGTTTGAAATTAGTGTTTAAATTTACGTTTTTTAGTAATTTGTGCTTAATTGAAGTGTTTGGATTGATTTTGTGTTTTTTTTTTTCACTTATTTGTACTTTGGTTATTTTGTGATTTGTCAAATTTAGCATTCTATTATATTTCAATAAGATATCTTTTAGTACAATAAACAAATGAAATAAAGTAAAAGAAAACTAAATAAATAAAAAATGATAAAACCCAAAAAGAAAATGCAGCAAGGCTGCGTTACAAACAAAAAAAAGAAGCAAAAAGTTAAAGAAAACAAAAAGAAAAGCAGCTGGAATTTCCTGGGATACAAAGAATAAACAAAAGAACAAAAAAAAGAAGAGACAAGAAAGGACATGTGCTTTGACTTTTTGAGTGCTTAACCCCAAGCCAAAAAAATGAGACAACTTGGGAGAAGGGGGAGGAACCAACGAGCTGCACAAAAGGGATAGGAGCAGCTGGCCGCAATACACACTCTCAGCTCTTGGCCACAGGGCAGGGGCAGAACATTCAGCGGCAAAAATACTTCACATCTGAAATTACTCAGCAGTAGCTATAAGCAGAGAACTAAACGCAGACATGGGATAGATAGCAACTCAGCCACAAGCAATCAAGGCCATCTGCTGGCCGGAAGAAGAGAAAACCACAGCCAGCTACTCGTTCATTCACCTTTCGACTTTAATTTTTAAGGTCTTGTATTAAATATCTTCTTTAAATTCATGTTTGAATAATCTTTAAATTTATTCTTGGACCATTTATAATTTCGAATTGCTCTTATCTTTAATGTTGAACTGCTATTACTTCGAGTTGATATTTTAATTATGTTCATGTGCTATTTTAGCTCCACCTTCATTAATGTTCTTAGTTTCTTGATAGTTATGTTAGGCTAAATCTTCATGGGGTTTGGATTTGGATAAAATTTAGGTTAATGGGTGTTCTTGAATATTGAGTTGAATTTGGGAAAATCTCTAATTTTTAGGACTAGTTGTTTGAGATAAATTTGAATGAGTAATTTGTGAAATTGATCACTTCACTTGTGAATGTTTGGAAAATTAATTCTTGCTTGTCTATGAGTGTAGAATTAATTTAGCTCACATCTCACACACCCTAAACTAAGCCTAGAAATAGGACATGTTAGGGAATTAAAATTAAATTCTTGTCTATGAGAATTAATGTTACTACTATTCTTAGATTGGAGAAAATACCCAAATTTAATTATAACCAAAGACACCCAAGATCCTTAATTCCAAATCTAAACCCCACTTTTAATTAGTTACTCCGTAATTTATTGTCACTAGTCACATTGAATTTACTTTTAGCATTTTATTTTAGAAACTTTACTCATCCATTTGTTTGCTAGTTTAATATTTTCATTAGTTAATTTTCTCTCTAAAGTTATTTTTCATGTTCACTAGTTTTAGTTTACTCATTAGTGTAATTTAATTAAATTCTCAGTTACTACTTTTGTTGTTTAATTTTATTTGCTTAATCATTACCACAATTAATCGTTTGAGAAAGCTTGCAACGACTCGTACTAACCGGTGACCGATATTGAAACCAACAACTTCCCTCCGCCACTCCTCAGAGACACGATACTCGGGGATAAACTTTTCCACCCGGAAGGGTTAAACTCCGTTTTACTACAACGACGCGAAAGCGGTTATCACATACAAAATATAAATGAATACCTTAATTGGTGAAATTCTTTTTATTGGAATTCTCTCTAGCATATACGGTTCTGCCATTTCATCATTGAGAAGTAAATCTGAATCCAGAAAGATATTTTGATTTTTCCAATTCCCCATCTAGGTTTGTATTTTGAACTTGTGATAATTAGTTAATTTATAAATACATGCCTTTATTACGAAAAAAATGCTTTTATTAGAGCAAAATAAATTTCCATTTAATTTGGATATTACAGAGTTCTTTTACTATGCAGTAATAAAATAAGAACTGTATTCTTTAAAGTTGGGATTGATTTGGTTGCTTAGATTCAAGGAATAAGAAAGTTGGGGTTGATGGCTTCGTGTTAAATTACTAGCTTATTGCTTTATTGGTGCCGATTGTGCATTACTGAATAAGAAAGTTGGAGATTGATTTTGGTTGCATAGATGTAGAAAAGGATACGATATTGATGGATAGATTTAGAAGCCGACAACAGCAAGTCCATCTGTGACCAGCGGTGGAAAGAAATTACCAGACGATCAACCAAAATCCACAACAGCCCAAAAAGTTCAATTAATTTGGTGGATGAGGAAATTCATTAATTTGGTGGCTGTGGGAAGAAATAAGAGAGAATTCCCTAAATAGGAGTAAAAACGTTTTGAAATTCCAAAATAGGAGTATCATGTTTTTTATTCCCTAAATAGGAGTAAATTTCTGTCAAGTTTGGGCATTACAAGGCTTTAAACATGGCATTTTGTTCCAAACTTGGCAGATTACTCCTATTCAGGGAATAAAAAACATGATACTCCTATTTTGAAATTTCAAAACGTTTTTACTCCTATATAGGACAATTTCTGAAAAAATAAAGGGGCTGTCAATAGAATAGAAACACCCCAATTACAAAGGTTGTAGTCTCCTATTAAGCATCTAGATTTTTCTTGGGCCAGAAATGGATCTCGGATGACTAGATACCAATTTACATACTTGGGCTTTACCCAGGATAGCATCCCGCCCAATTTACGGCCATTGTTCGTCTAAAATTATACGCAGTAGGGTTTATCACCACGTGTTTGATGAAGCACAGAGAAGCTGTAGTTTAGAAGCCTGTCCTTGCAGTGAACGAATTTCAGCTTAGCTTCACATCTCATGGGATCAAAGAATAGAAAGAGCAAGGGTGTTACCAAGTTGGGTAAGCCGGACGGCGGTGCCGGTACCACCGCATTCGGCCGCGGAAGTCGTCAAAATGTAAGCAACACCATCACAGATGCTCGGTTCGCATCCATTCACACGGATCCTAGGTTCCGGAAAGCTCCAAAGCGAAAATCCAAGGTGGTGCTCGATTCCCGCTTCAGCCATATTTTCACAGATAAGAACTTCGCGTCAACGAAGGCAAAGATTGATAAGAGAGGCAAACCCAAGAAAGACTCTTCGCAAAATCTCATGAAACACTACTACCATCTCGAGGAAGAAGGAAAAGAAGCGATTGGACGAGGTGAGGAGTTGACGAGCAAAAATGTTGATGTCAAAGAAGAGGACGAGGAAGAAAGTTGCAGTGAAGCAGGACAAAGCAGCAGCGATGATGATAGTGGGAGCGGGGAGTTGGAGAAGGGAAATTTGATAAGTAAGTTGGGTGCTACAGAGTCCGAAAACGAAGATGAAGAGTGTCCTAGTGATGATTCCTCTTCAACAAGTTCTACGGATTCTGATGAAGAGAATGAGATTAATCTAGACGAAGAAGATACCTTTGTGCAGGTAGAGAATGGAAATATTTGGCTTTATGGTTTCTGCTGCCAACTTGAAAATTAACAATGCTTTTGCTTTATTGAAATGGTTTACAGGAAGAAACCATACAAACAATTGAGAAGGAAACTCATAGACTAGCAGTTGTTGGTATGGATTGGGGTCGAGTAAAGGTGTGTTATGGAAATTTCAATTCTTCCAATTGCGTGTATGAATTTATGATTGCTCACTTGAATTGTATTATTATACTCCCTCCGTCCCGAAAACAACTTCCCACTTTCCTTAAATGGATGTCCCAAAATTAACTTCACGCTTCAATACCTTCCTTATTTGTCAAATTATCTACATCAAAAAAGTGATAAACAGTGCCAAACAGTGTTTAAACAGTGCCAAACAGTGTTTAAACAGTGCCAAACAGTGCATTCTACAGTAAAGTCAAATTTATTTCCTAAAAGTGTGTGAAAGTCCAACCGGGAAGTTGTTTTCGGGACGGAGGGAGTATGTAACTGAGGATGAACCATATAGTGATTTACTAGTTTGGTTGCTCACTCTCAGGTTTTTGTTCTTTTTAAATAATGTAAAGACCTGCTCAACCTGTCTTTTGACTTTGCTGAAATACCTACCTAATTGGACATTGTTATGCCCATAACATTGTACTGTTAGACTCTTAGGGGTTGGCAAAGAAGGATCTTGCATTTTTTATATTCCTCTCTTTTATATTTGGTATTTTTGAACGTTTACTTTCCAAATATATCTGAAGTTGAATTGTACAAGCTTGATAACTTAAACGACTTCAAATAGATGAAGAGAGATATGTGCCAAAGTTGCATTAAAGGTATCTTAACTTTTGATTTTATCTAAAATTGTGAAATAGTGTGTCATTTCTTTTCACATTAATCGGTGCATGCAGAGACTATTTATGATTAATTGGCTTTCAATTTTTTATCCTTGGCGAAAAACAGGTGTATAAAAGTATAATTAAGTTATGTTTAGAGTCTGTGTTCTTTATTTTAGTTCGACATAGTTACGTTTTTTGAAGTAACTCTTGTGTTTTGTCTTGTTAAACTTTTCCCTTGCTTCTGTTATGTTCCTTAAGTTGCATATATTTATTTTTTAGCCGTATACATGGCTTGATCATCTAAAAATTTTATATAAAGAATGTCCAACATATAAAATAAAATTAAAAAATTAATACAGAGCTAGGGTGCAACTTTGGTCTTCCTTTCTAAGAATATACTGAGTAATCGAGTATATGTTTATTTGACATTCAGTCCATATCATAAAACTCTTTTTTACGTGAGTTTATATTGAGCTTTTGCAATTTCAAGCCATATAATATCACTACAATTAATAACCGAATGTATACATAATCATAAAAACAAATACTCAAACAACTTTTCAGGATTTTAAATTTATAATGATAAATACAATTTTTCACTACTTACGGAGTATAATAATGTGTTGACCACATATGGTAAACTCTGTAAAGATTTGAGAGGATATACGAAGTATATATACACATATATAAAGACAAATTGAACTTAAACCTTGTAAAAGTTATCTTGATCTAGAAATTAGTAACCCAAAACTCAATGCAGTCAAACAAACAATTTAGCCCACTATTAACGGGGTATGCAAACAAAAGACTATGTATCTAATACTACGTAGTAGGATTTTGGTGAAACCTTCATCTTCTTAGCATCTCTACCCCTTGCTTCTTTTCAGCCGCAGCTCTGGAACACATCTTCCCCGCTGGCCGCTGCTCTCTCTCTCTCACTTTCTCCTTCTCGTCATGATAACATCAGCCCAAATCAATCCATTTTAAAATCAGCTCGTCTTCGTCAATCCCCCACTCTCCTCTGTTTGATCCTACTATCGAGAAAGTATAAGCAAAGACCTCTAAATGAGTCAAATGGGTGTCATATTCTTCTTTATGGTAGTATAAAGCTATATAAAGGCAAATTTCCTTACTCACTGACTAAAAGTTTATGGTAGTACAAAGCTATATAAGGGCAACTTTCTAAGTTATGTTTGCACACGGATGATACAGCCACTGAGCTACGATATATAGGGACCTAATGAAAGGGTTAAGTTATATCTATTTGGAAACAATATTTTTCTTTTCATTTTCCCATGTGTAATATTAATAGATATACAATTTCAATGTGCCGTTTTCCCTTCTCAAGCATTCTGGATAATTCCAGTATTTTTTGGCCAATGATTTTTATCAATGTAGTTGCCGTACTTTTTCTTCCGTGCTTCAGCACTGCACGATCTACTTTGAATGGTTTTGGCGGGAGCTTCTCCTGCAAGAATCATTTTCTTAATATATATAAATTTCTTAATATATATAAATAGATAGATAGATATGGAGAATACGATGGTATAGAGATTTTTTAGAATTCATGGTATGCATTGCTCCATAGATGATTTTTCTATAAATCATATGATACGGAGTATATTTCAATAAACGTCCTGTATAGTGTTAAAAGAATCACATATTCATCCTTGTTGTCTGGTAGTATTGCTATCTATTTCCATTTATGCTCATAATTATGTTTATGCGGTCTGGTTAATATGCTCTACAGGCAGTAGACATATATGTGCTGCTGAGTTCATTTCTCCCAAAAGGAGACCTCATTAAGTCTGTTGCTGTCTATCCAACTGAGTTTGGACTAAAGCGCATGGAAGAAGAGGCACTGCATGGTCCAGTTGGTCTGTTTGATGAAGATGAAAATAGCAAGAGGAGTGATGATGAGGACGATGATGAAATTGAAAATGAGAAGTTGCGTAAATATGAATTAAGCCGGCTCAGGTGATTGATTGTCTTTCAAACTGAGCTTATATAGCTAGTCAGATAACTCAGATTGAGTAGTGTATGATGTCTAAGCTACAATTAGTCTCTTTCCTTTTTTTTTCTCATAGGATGTCACTGTTTTTCTAAAAATTGTTTGGGAATAAGGCTTGGATGTTGTTGTATAGGATGTCACTACCCCACATGATATGAGGATTAAAAGAAGTCTCCAACTTGGTTCTTTTTATTTTTTATTGTATCTTACTTTGTATATAATTATCTTAGCATACACTGACACGTTTCTGTTATATGTGCAGGTATTATTGTGCTGTAGTGGACTGTGATTCAATTGCTACAGCTGATTACCTTTACCAAAACTGTGATGGGGTTGAATTTGAAAGGACATCGAATAAATTGGATTTGAGGTTTATTCCTGATTCTATGGAATTTAAACATGAGCCACGTGATGTTGCGATAGAGGTAACCGCAGAAGAGAAGTGTTTACAGTGCATGCATAACCACATAAGAGAAATGTATACACTGCTCTAAATTCTTATACTTGTGTTAAGACTTTAGACTGTTATTTCTCCCCCCTCCCAAAAAAAACAGGATGCTATTATTAGTCAACCTCAGGTTTTAAGTAAGATCCTGTAAAGCCAAGTAGAAAATGCTTTTAGTCAATTACTCCAAACTATCTTGGAAAAAAGTCTTAGAGGTATATAAGTGGCCATTCATGGCTTGTAAAAGCTTTCTCTTGGAAATAAGTCTTAGAGGTATATAAGTGGCCATTCATGGCTTGTAAAAGCTTTCTCTTGGAAATAAGTCTTAGAGGTATATAAGTGGCCATTCATGGCTTGTAAAAGCTTTCTCTTGTTTGTGTTGACTCAAAATAAAAATAAAAATAAAAATAAAAACCTTACTTAAATGTGACTCTGATTTTATGGATTGAGGGATTATTGAATAAGAAACTCTTGATAAACTGTTAAAAAAATCAAGATTTGTGCTTTTCATTACAAATGTTGATGGGCAATTGTATTAAAACATAGTATCAAACATATCGTATTAATCTTTTGTAATTTATGCTCGGCTTAGGCACCAGCTAACTATGAAGGTTTAGATTTTCATACTCGAGCACTTCAACACAGTAATATTGAACTTACATGGGATGAGGATGAGCCACAGCGTACGAGGACCTTGAAGCGGAAGTTCAACGCTGATCAGGTTTGTCTCTTTTCTCTTTTTGAGCAAAATTTCCACAACAACAACATCATCCAAGCCTTATTCCCAAAAGATTTTGGGATTGGCTAACAAAGGCTTTATTCCAAATTGGCAAAAAAAAGATGACCGTTTGACAATTTGGTAAAAAACAAAAGCTTCACCAACATATTGATAATTTTGAAAAGCTCCTGAGTGATTTTAATCACTCTGTATTGGGCAGAATCTTTGTGATCGGATCACTTTGAATGCAACTTTAGGCATATTTTGCGAAACGGTTCACCCTCATTTTATTACTGCTTAATTTGTCATTACATCATTATGGCCTACAAGAAAAGAGAATAACCATGACACTCATCTAATTATCAGTTTTCATCACATTATTTTTGCCCCTCTCCAATTCTCAATCTGTGTGCATATATAGTGCGGGATCTCTTCATATCAATGTCATATGCTCTTTTTTAATAAGTTGGTATAAAATTAGCCATATGATGCTGGAGTGTTTTTAAACTATCAATATGTCGCTGGGGTTCTTTTACCAATTTGTTAAACAACCCTCTTTGTTTTTATCAATTCGGTAGTTCAGCCACTCTTTTTAATCTCGATCTGCTATCCTTTTGGTATATTTCAAAATGAAGTTAGTGTTAATTACAGCAGTTCTAATTTTTCAGCTTCTTGGCTGTTCATTTGGACTCTTAATGATGTTTTCTACGAAGTTCAATAAGCCTAAGAGCCCAATTCGTAACACAAAATTGGTTGAATCGTCTAAAGCCGCTGAAATATGTGAAAATCTTGCTAAAGGGGCTGAATTTTGTTGATCTTTGAAAAAATTATATTTAAAATGTATTTTACTAATAAAATTTTAAAATGTATTTTGCTAATAAAATAAAGAATGAATTATATGAAAAATAACTAAAACAGTCATGTTCAACAATGTTGACAATTTAGCCAGAAAAGTAATTCCGTCCTTATTTTGATTATTATACAATTTAGCGTGCAAAACCAAAATTTACGGGCTCTTAGTATTACAGAGTTGCATGAATGTAGTTCCATAGTTATGGACCTATTTTCTCAGGTTGTTCATTTCTTAGAGGAGGTGATGGATGACTGTAAAAGTTTTTAGTTGGATTGCAATGGCTTTATTAAAACAATACACTATACCACTTATAATGCATCAAATATTCATAAAAAATCCAATCCATCCATAGTCTATTAAATAAAATCCAACTAATCCATCCATTAATATTGTTTTACAGATAGTTATCCAACCCATCCATTCTCATTGGTTTTCATGTGTAGATAACTGAGCTATGCATGTAATGAATTAATTGTTAAGCTACTAGCAGAAGTATAATGACAGACAAATGTAATAAGCAAATAATAAATGTGGATAGTTCAATGAAGCCGAAGGATATAAAATGTTTTTAATTTAATCTATTAAATCAACAAAAAAGTAGATGGATCGCCTTATATAGATGAACTGGATCCCGTGCATTATTATCACATTTAAAAGGGATGGATTGGTTGGCTTTACAGTTGGATGCAAATGACGACATTAAACAATCGGCTTCTCTTGTCACCCTTATTTTTGTGGGATTATGATTTGGTGTTTCGGATAACTGCTAACATTGCATTACACTGCCAGCTTGCAGAACTGGAGCTGAAGGAATATTTGGCACCTGATGATAGTGATGAAACTGATGATGATGAGGGCAATGAAGAAGACTCTGGAAATAGAACCACAAAAAAACATAAAAAACAGGAAATGTATCGTTCATTACTTCATTCTGGAGACTGTTCTGATAACAGTGACAAGGATGATTATGATGACGATGACGATCAAGAGGACATGGAAGTCACTTTCAACACAGGATTGGAAGATTTAAGCAAACGTATTCTTGAAAAGAAGGACAAACAATCTGAATCTGTTTGGGAAGCCTATCTTAGAAAGCGAAAAGAAAAAAAGAAAGCCAGGAAAAACAGATCAAAGGATTCATCAGATGATGAAAGCAGTGACGGTGATTATGATGAACAAAAAAATCATTTAGAAGAACCCGATGACTTTTTTGTTGAGGAACCGGTGGCTATTGGAAATAAGGACAGGAAAGGTAAACGTGCCGGGAAAGTGAAACCGGATCAAGGAACCGCCCAAGAAGATATAGCAGGTAGAGCAGAGCTTGAGTTGTTGTTGACGGATGAAAATGGAGGAGGTACCAAGTTGAAGGGCTATAATATGAAGAAACGCAAGAACAAGGATAGAAAAGGAATAGAAATTATTGATGAGGATAAGATACCAAATATGGACTATGAGGATCCTCGGTTTTCCAGTTTGTTCACTTCACCACTATTTGCTTTGGATCCCACTGATCCGCAGTTCAAGAGGTATAGTTTCTCACGTTTGACCGTATCACATGACTCAACTAAAACATAATGTAGTTAAGATCCCTGTTATGCTTCATTTTATGTACATGTCTGACTCTCAAGTCCCAATTCACCAACAGCTCATGATGTTTTATAGGGCAAATACCTGAAAAGAATGGATTTGGCCTTTCAAAGTAAATCCATATTGTCCTTGAACCCTTCAATGGTCTAATTTAAACCCAAAGTAATCCAATAATGATCTTTTAGCTTCAAAAGATTCTCGGTTGCCTTTAAACGTCCTGTGTTTGCATGTGTCTTGAAAAACATGCTAACGGATGATAAATCAACTAGCTGTAACAAAAAAATATACATTATTAATATAAACTTTTGATAAGGTTTAGGCCGAAGCTGTCTGGACTTGTAATGTTTTCTATTGCTGCTGCTACTAGTCTTATCATGGCTTAGAAGTTAGAACTTGTTAAGAGTCTTATCATGACAAGATTTTATCCAAGGTTCGAAAGTGAACTAGGGCAGATAAATAGGTGATTTTTTTATCTATGATCAGCAGAGAGAGGAAAACAAAAATAACAAGGATTTATTGTAATTATTTTGGCTCCTTACCTAGTCAAGACTCTCAAGAACTAATTATTCCTAAAGTACTTTATTCAATACTAATGATGACCCTCATGTAGCCATCATAAGAGTCCCAATGTAACAAATGAAATCTCAGATCTGGTAGACTTCTAATCTGACTAAAACTGAAAGCAAGAAATAAGAAGAATAAATGAATTAGGACTGCTTTGCTTAGACCACAAGGCAGCCCTCAGTGATGCGCTCTACTGTCTTCTGTGAATGACATTGTCTATAAGTATGGCCCACGAGGCGTCTTCATCATAACTTTCTTCATGCATCATGCATGTGTTTGATGTTCATCATGCATGACATGCCCAAGGTCAATCGGGGTCATGTTTGAGTATTTGGCCGTATCTGATGTGAAATTGAGAAAATAATCTATGTTCACGGTTTTTAAAATTTCAATCTCATTATTTCATTCTTTAGAAGGTTTGATGAACGTGCATCTGGCGTAAAATATTACATTTCGCTTATGACATGGTTTCTTTTCGACGGTTTGATGTTTACAGGAGTGCAATCTATGTAAGGCAGATGTCTGAGAAGCAACACAAGACCGCCCCAGAAAACGTCAAGGGAAAGGAGGAAGGCAGAGCAGAAGAGTTTCCTTTGAGAAAAGAGAAGCATGAACTCTCCTCTCTAGTCAAATCAATTAAAATGAAGTCAAAGCAAATCCAACCGCCCTCTCTAAATAAGGCGACAAAGAAAGGTGAAAAGCTGATATTGAAGACAAAAAAGTAGAAAGACACACTTCCTCTCTGTGATGAACTTCTTATGGATGGATATAGAGATATTACTTATTCTTTTTATTTGTTACATTATCTTTTTTGCAGCTTATTAATTAATTGTTGTAGTGTATGATTTCCTCCAATATCTTGCAACTTGTTATGGATGGGTTCATGGAATCATGGGTATAGAGCTATTACTTATTTTTATTTGTTACATTTTCTTTTTTTTGCAGCTTATTTATGCATTAATGAGTTGTTTAGTATGACTTCCTCTAATATCTTGCAGGTGTGATTTGTTAGATAAATTATAACTTATAAGCATTAGCATTCTATTCCTCTGTGTTCAATGCGCTAAAAGCCCAAAATTGTTGTCAAGTTATATATTCTGATGTTGTAATGTCAATAATAATGGACTGGGTTTTCTGGGAACTAGGCACCCGGCATTCCATTTTTTCAAAAATCACAAAATGATGAATGGGTCATTTTAGTGGTGAAGCTAATTTAACCCAAGTTTTTTTTGGGGGGTCCAAAAGGTGAAAAGTTTGAAATTTAGTAGTTTCCAGCATTAGGCAAATACAATAAATAGGGGTTCAAATGACATATAAGAAATACTTCTTAGTAGAACAATGAGACTTCAAAAATTGTTCTCTTTAAACACAGATTTTCCTTCGATTTCCTGGAGGCTGACATTTTAACCCCATTCCTGGTAGATTTTACATTGAAGGAATAAATTATATGGGAAGAAGATAAATGGTTGATGGCTCTTGGAATATGGAGTGACCCATTTCAGATATACACTGATTCCCTTGAAAATCAACTCGGGTACCCGTCTGCCCAGTAAAAAGTTTGTTCGGGTTTATTTCCTTCGCCCAGTGCCGATGGTAAGAAGCTCAAAGCTCAAAGCCTCTAGAAGTGTTACCAGTTCGGGTGAAAGATGATGACTTGGACTCAACAGTGGGATGATGATCCAATCTATGGGTAGAGGAGGTTAGCCGCCCGCTGCTGGACCCCAGCCGTCCAGTACGGGTCTCAATGTTGGGCTCGCCCGACGAGCTTGGCCTGCTACTTGACACTACCCCCCTCCTTGAAGTGCTACCCGTCCGTGAAACACGCCCTCCTCTATCAGTAGTATCAGCTTGCACATCTTTGGAACAAGAATCAGTTGAAAATAAAATAGAATAAAATAAAATAAGAATAGATATAAAGACGTGAGATTTATATGGATGTCTAAATATGCAAAATAATGTATGACCTTTAGGCTAATTTAAACTCAACACTCGTTATTGTCTTATTGATCACTACTAGTGTAGTACCCGTGCGATGCACGGGACATTTTTCACAAAGTAATTAAATTGGTGCATATCTAATAGAAAAGGGTAAATTCAATCTAAGAAAAAGAATAAAAAAGTTTTCCAAATTTGAATTTACACCTGTATATAAAAAAAGCAATCAATAATACGTGAAAGAGTAACATATAATTGACGATAACTGAGATTTATTTTTCAATTCAACGTTTTGTTATACTACGTAATTTAAATTCAACGTTAGATAATGTTTATTATTGATTTTTATTAATTGCATAAGTCAATAAAAGAAAATTGTCTTCTTTGGAACTTGAAAAGTAATCTCTAATAGGGTTCAATATTCTTGGAAACACTACATGTTCACTTGTGTATATACACCTGTCAAAACATTTCTAAAGTATAGGTGACGATGGGGTTGATATGCAAAATGCATAGACCCCATGCAACTACATAGGGCAATGTTTCACCTAAATCAGTTTGTGATTAAAGTGTAATTTACATCCTTTCGATTAACATTTTGACCAGTGTGCTCATGTGCTGGGAAGCCCGAAGCCCTTAAGGATGGGGTGAAACCCACTTATTCAAAACGGTGATGATTTCACTTAAAGGAAGAATATTCAAATACATTTATTGTCCTTGAGCATAATATTCAAAATTTATGTAAAAGTACACTACAGTTAGAATTTGGCCAATAAAGAATCAATGAGAAGAATAAAATAAAAATGGTGCAACACAATATAAAATAAAATTAATGTCCAAACTATAACAAAAGTCAACTAAAAAATATTTCTGAATCATCGCCAAATAAGATGGCATGTAGGCTATGTTTCACTATCAGCGTTTGAGCCAAAACGTCAATAAGCATTAAACGTAAAACGCTACAAAATGCAGGAAATAGAGATGGCATTTCTGCTCACCCACCAAAAAAGAAATGCAGCCATAGTATCAACATTTGCCCGATGCAAAATGCTAAGGAACTATCATTAGTCCAACCCATTAGCCATTTGGCCTGCACCCACCTCCACATTCAAGCCAACAAATCAACATCAACTTTTGGTACTTGCTGGTACCGGCCACTCCAACACAAAAAGCTTACAGATGAGCTTAATGGTCAAACCACCAAAACAAACCTATAATGGTCAAAGTGAATGAAATGCAGTAAGTTAATAAAATTAGCTCTAAATTTTACGATATTTAAAAATTAAACCAAGTAGTCTAACAACAAATGAAAATATCAACATCTCAAAAGTAAGAATAAAATGGTTCCAATAAAGTATAGACCGTTCCAAATAGCTATACATTCCATCAGGTGAGGGAGCTTTTAATTAAGACTGGGTAATAGAATATTAGAGACCATGTATACTACCCACTCCAAGATCATCAAATTACTCATATGTTAAGAGATGAAATTGATGCCGAGATGAGCATCTAGATCCTTTCAGTGCATTTAAATCTCAATGAGCACCAGAGCATATTAAAATCCCATTTATCAGAGGCTTACTCATTATTACATATATAAAAGCTACTAAATGAAGAAGGTAGGCCAAACTGGAAATAGTCCCAATTTCTATACCTATCAGTTAATTTAAATTGCAATGAACCATCTACTCGCCAAATTAAAACCATAAATTTAAATCATCAGGGATGAGAGAAAGATCATTACCAGAAAACATGCATAAGAGCTACTAAATGAAGAGGTTCATCCCATTTTGCTGGGTTGAAGTGGGTTTTATACACATGATGTGACTATATGTATGAAGATGGAGTGCCTTTTCACTACCCGGGCTAGCAGCTCTTCCTCATTCTTTCAACTTCTCGAATATGCAAAACTCAGTTACAACTTTCAAGGTTGTTAAATAGTTTAAGAAATAGCGAGAAGTCCAAACAATAGATTAACACCATCCAATTTAATGCACAATTTTTTAATTAGATGCTTCGGAATTGCTGAAGTGAGTTCTTGAATATTTATGTAGACAAATAATAAATTAATTCTGGAAACAGATTCAGCCAGTGAGTGCACTTCCTGCCTAAATGACCTTAGACTATTGCGTGCTGCACTTCCAGCCTAAATGACCTTGGACTATTGCGTTTTTATATAGTATAATATAGATTTGAGTACATGGTAATGATGGTATAGTTATTTGATTATTTAATAAATCATTTTAGTTTTCACTCTTGCTTGCCCAAATTGTCACCAGTGAAAAAAAACCACCAGGGCCAACCTCAAGGCAACATATTGCCTCTTTCGAGAAGATATCTCCCTTAAAAAAACTAAAATTCAAAGTAAGTTATACAAAAATAGGAGTAAAAAATTAGAAAGCACCGAGAACAGAGGACAAATGAAGCAAGATCATATGCACTAACTTGTCATTGCAAGAGCAAAGAATTTTACACATAGCTTTTCACACTTAGCTAACACTCCCTACTCACAGAAAATAAAACCAGACATTCAATTCACACTCAAAGATTAAAACTAAGAAAAATAAAAAGCTTTAGCATGAATGCTAAAGCTTAAAATTTTAGAATTACCATATAGGAATGCAAACATGGACTAATGTTATTCAGAAAAAGAAAGAAAGATCACCTAAGCATCTTATTCCATAGGATACAATATAAGTTTAACTTCTCAATTCATTTAAAATGAACATTAATCCATGTTCTATTTTCATGTTGCTCTATACTAACAAAATTTAGGACATTAAAGCCTACCCCTTTATCCCACCAGTGTAAAAACAGCTTGCACTACCTCAAACTGTCAAGTACTAAAGATTGTACTTGTATTAGTTCATTCTTGATTGTTTTAATCTCTTCAAGTAACCATTTTTAGACTCACAATTTCACTTTATAGTATACTGCAAATGCAATTAAAATTCTGTTTTTCAATATCATGTAAGCATTTCATCAAACAACATATATGCAGAATAAAAAAAATCGATAAAGAGAGCAAAATTCTCTAATATAGAATTGAAACTACTATATATTCAATCATATTACGTATAAATGGAAACCTGGACATGGGTGTAGAAGAAGATGGCGGAAGAGTTGCGCTTTGATGCAATTGATGGTTGAGCCACACAACATTGGATGGAATTATTCTTAGTTGAAGTTGGTTTTATAGACATGGTGTGATTGCATGATTGAAGGTGGTGTGCCTTTTCATTACCTGGGTAGCTGCTCTTCCTCGATCTTTCAATTTCTCAAGTAGACAAAAATCAAAACTCAGATACTACTTCCCAGGCTTCATTAATAGATAGCGAGAGCCGAGATGTCCAAAAAGTATATTAAGAACACCATCCAATGCACCGTATAATTACCAGATGCTTTGGAATTGTTAATGTGAATTCTAGAATATTCAATAGACAAATTCTCGTATACAGATTAGGCCAGCTAGCGCTGCACTTCCCGCCCAAATGCTCTAAGACTATTCCGTTTTTATATATTATATAGATATAGATTTATTACTTCCTCCGGTTCTAAATATAAAGTTCATGGTTTGATTTTACATTTTTAAGAAAGTGAATTTTTTGTTTTTTACTTTCTCATTATACCCTTAGAAGAAAGTGGCACTGTCACTCAAATTCTCAATGGTAGATTCTAGCAATGCCAGATTTTAACCACATTCCGGCATGAATTGAAGTATTTGAATTAATTCATGTTTCTTCTTCGCATTTCAGTGTCTTGTTTCGCTTTCTTCCTTTTTAAATTCTCTGCCTTTACTATTTTTTGTCTATTAAGAATTTTTGTGACATTAAGATTTTATCTGCCTTTACTATTTGGATATGAACATGCCAACGTTTATATAATTAGATGTTTACAGCAAACACACTCGATTTTTGGACATTAGTTTCATGGTATAGTCATATTTAATCCAGTTGCATATAATACTAGAATTTTTTTTCAACATGATAAGCAATATATACGTAGTATTTAAAATCCTATTGTCTTAGTTGGGTGTCTGCTTTGATCG